ATAAGTGGTCAGAAACTTGTAAATAACTCATGAAAGAATAAAGTTACGTTGAAACCAAGCACACCATTGATTTTCTTGTGACATTACCAATAAGTTTGATGTGTCACATGGCCCTCTTCCTATTGAAAAAACAAAACTTGTATCCAAGATGGCCGACTTCTAAATGGCCACCATGGTCACCTCCCATCTTGAGGAGTTTGCCCCCTCACATATACTAATGTGCCACCAACAGGACTTTAATATCACCAACCATTCCTATTTTATTATGGTGTATCCATATAAATGGCCCACCCTGTAGTAGACAATGCTGTGTTAAAAAAGAGGCAATGAGGCAAATTTAGTACAACCAAAATATATACATCATTGGTCCCAGTAAAGGTTACAAATATGTAAACAATCATGAATAAGGAGTCCAACTTGTCAATTGCATAGGTAACATTTAAACAGAAGGTAGGAGGTTAAACTCTATCATAGGAATCAGCATTAGATCACGTCTTTTCTAACAATATTAGCCTATAATAAGCAGCTCGTACACCACACAGATATTTTTACATGCTCATTTCTCGCCTAGATGTAAATGAATGATCGAGGGGGGTGTCTGAAAGTACTATTGTGGCCAGGGCCTCTCAGTGGTGCAACTCATGAGGGGATGCGGGGGAGGAGCATTGATGGGAACAAGCATTTTGGTGTCTCATTACCTGTAATGTGATCGCACCGCCTTTGATGTACATAGGCATGCCCGTAGAACAGCTAGGGAAAATCCCTTACCAAACTGTATTAACGCTACAGTGCCGTCTATTATTTTGCTTTATGTCATGTACACTGTCACCGTAATCCACATTTTTAATACCATAACACAGATAGTTAACTTCTGGCTGTCAATAATTCAAGTCAAATAAACACAGCAGAAAGAAACATTTGTAACTGAAAATGTGTGTTTTCTTCTTTTCAGTTAGATAGTAGGGAGCTTGTTACGAATCTGAACCTGTAAAGGTGTACACTTTGGAGTCTGCGTCAGTGAACAAAGAGGTGAAAGTGAACTGTAACCTAGAAAGCACCTGCAGAACGCCCTCCTTCGCCACGCCCCTTACGTATTAAATGTCCGCCACCTGCCACAGCTTTCTAAACTTTCCGTTAAAAGACAGAACGGCATTTTAGTCAGCCTTCAATTTATTTAATTGCTCAAAACTACCACAAAACACGTCCCTCTATTAATTTTACTATTCCAAATTGGCCTCCCTTCTATTTTGGAAGGGATGGGGGCTGTCGTTAGCTTTATGCACCCTATGTGTGTCTAGTCAGCTAACGGAGAAAAACATAAAGTGCAAACCCATCACTGACTGCACACAATTCACCGTTAACAAGATGAGTGTCCGTTTATAGTCAAACAGACGTTGGCTGCGAGCGGCGGAAAGCACGAGCCTGTCGTGACAGCCACTGATGCTAGCTGTGTAGCGAGATAGCAGGATCAGGAAGCTAACTGGTCTCTACAACAACCGCCATTTTGTACCTTTTGCATTTGACATCGCCATAACAACGGCCTGCTTGGGTATGCATCTATGGCTGCGTCGTCATGGCAGGCGAAATTCAGAGTCATACAGATGAGCAGCAAGCAGGCACAAACTATAGCACACTAGAAAGCCCGACCGGTTATCAGAAATACGGCTAGCTTGCAGGCTAACCCCCAGCTAACACTGGGAGGCAGTTGCCTGTTATGGCTACTGAAACAACAAGGGGGGAAAAGCAATAGCAGAATTCAGCTGAAGCGTTAGAGGACATAAAATGCTACAGATCATGTTAAGAGCTTCACCTCTGGTTCCACGTGTGTATTTCCCACTGGCAAAATATCTTCTTTTATTTTTATGGCGGTTTCAGTTGTTGTTGTTGTTGATTCTCGTTGCTGGGTTCTTGTCGCCAGGGCTACCGTGGCTATGGCGCTTCGTCCTCACCAGGGCAACTGTTGCTACCCACCCGCTCCCTTCCCTCCCCCTTTGCTGTTGTGATTGGCTGAGAGCTGCCAAATTGTCTTAAAGTGACAGCGCCAGGAAAATTTTACTACAAAGCCTTCCACGCCCATTTGTGGAAAATCCCAGAGGTGGAGGCTCCCAGTAAAATCCCAGTGAAAGTAATAGAATTGTTTGTAGTTTGTTTTTAAATTGGAATAAAATCAATGCACAGCCTATATGGACTGTCATTTAAATTGATCCATCTGGCTACATTCATTCAGTAACTTACCCTATGGTCCATTAGTAGCCTACCTGAAGAATGGGCTATTGATGTGTTGTTGTATTTTAATATGTTTCTTCCTTTTCTTTACTCTCATTTTACAATAATGTACATATCAGTCCATAACAAGGCATTACAAAGTGTTTTACAAATAAATGAATACAAGGAAACACAAGGCTATATAAAGACAAATTTAAAAGTTTTGAAAGCAGAATTAAAAAATAAACAGGGAATTTTCCATTTTTACCTGTCATCACAACACATTACAGGTTATTATATATGTGAATGTGGCATACGACTGCATAATAGTGGACCAAAGGCAAATTTCTTGCCCTAAATTGCATTTAGTGTTCTCATCATACAACATAATTTATACATTTTTTCCCACACACCACTGGTTTATTTAATGTGGTCTGTAGCATTTTGATATTGCTCCCTTGACCTCCACAGGTTGCCCCAGCATGACAGTGTTTTAACAAGTGTCATGGTGGATACCTTCCCAAAATGCCATTTTGTTAGCTTTGTATCATCACATTAATTACAAATTCAGCACCCCTTTTGTAATTTCCTAAATGAGCGACCTTTGGCTATGCGAATATACAGATAAGAATGTGTTTTATTTGTCTCTGACTCATAATAAGACTTCTGTGTTATCAGACTTTGGAAATGTCACTGGTCCAGTCTCTGTTCTTCAATTCACCTTTTGGCAAAGAGCTAACAGGATGAGTAATTTCCTGAAGAAAAGGTAAGTTCTACATAAAGAATTTTTATGTAGGTTAACTGTGTTGAAGGTGATGTAATGAACTAGGATTGCAAAAACCTGAATGTATGGCTGTAATATTGTTAAATGTCATCAAGACAGTTAAAGGCCACATGCGCCGGCAGAACTAACATGTTAATTCTTTAGGGACCGTATTTTTACAGTGTGTTTGCATTGTTTTTTCAATAATACAGTTTTATATGAATTAAATTGGATTTGTTTGAATATTTTTTTAACATGTAAAAGTCATTCAGCCTCCAATGGTCTGTGCAGAAAACTACAGAAATATGTGCTATACACTGATTAATAACACTATATGTATTTTTTAAGTACTAATGGAGATGTATACATGTATGTGTGTAAACCTTTGTTTACATTTGATATACAATATGTATAGAAAATTGGTTATAATTAGTATACCAAACAGCAATCAAGTAATCTTGTTATAACAGTCTAATTGTGTTTGTCATTGTCAGTGATCTGTACACATTATGGGTTTTCTGGTCTGGTCATTTTATTATATAGAGGGACAAACATTTGCCTAAACTATTAGATTATAGATTCCTCTAACAAACTCATTAACTATGCCACCTTTGGTCTTCTTTTTGTCTCCATAAAGGTCTCCCACTGTATCTCCTGTTCAGATCTGTTATTCTCTCAGAGGAGGCCTACATGCGCAGTGTGCATCTCCTCCTTTTCAGGGGTTCAAACACCTTTATAAAGCGCGCCTGGGTCATCTAAAAAGTCATTGCTTATGCAAAGAGCGAGTTAAACCAAATATTCTCCTCCCACTTCTTGCCTCGCGACTATGTGGAAAGCTGTGGTGCTGGCTGTGTGTCTGCTTGTGGCTGGCGTTCAGCCCATGGATGACCCAGCGTATGGGGTGAAGCTCTGTGGCCGCGAGTTCATCCGGGCGGTCATCTTCACCTGCGGGGGTTCACGATGGAGACGGTCACTCAGGAGTTTAGGTAAGCCCGGTGATCTTTCACTTTATTTTTTACCTTTTGCAACCACTTTTAAAATTTCTATTTGTGAATCGAGGTGGCTGTGGCTCAGGTGATAGAGCAGGTTTTCTACCAGTTGGAAGGTCGGTGGATTGATTCCTGACTCCTCCAGTCTCAAGTATTGTTGGGCAAGATGCTGAAACTCACGTTGTCCTGATGCATCTGTCGGAGTGTGTGAATGTCAGAAAGCACTCAGGCATAGATAAAAGCTCTATATGAATGAGTGAATGACACTTGTAGTAGAAAGCGCTTTGAGTGTTCAGCTGAGCAGAGATGTGCAATGTGCCATCCATGACTATGTAAATAATTTAAACTGGTCTTATTCTGCTCATTTCTGATCATGTGGAGGTATCCAGAGAAATGATGGAAGTAAATCACCTGTAATTTTAAGTGTAGAATGACTGGCTGGCTGGTTAGAATGGCTGGTTAGCCAGCAATGATTACATATGATCAGATTACAAAAACCAAGTGACTCCTACTTAATTTTTAGCTTTTTATTATGGTAGTATTATTATAGTTGTTGTTCTTGTCTGTTTTTTTTTACCTTATTAACTATAATTTTTGTGACTTTTGCATTTCACATCTATCTATCTATCTATCTATCTATCTATCTATCTATATATACATATATATATATATATATATATATATATATTGTTGTTTAAGATTGAATTTGAGTGTATCCACTGAATGGTGTTATTTCTTACAAAAAAATGTATGAACTGTTCAGTAAATGACTACAGCTTAAAATGTAATTGCTCTCAGCCCTGAAAGGCTGAAAATGTGATATTCTGAATCAAAGTGCCTTGGTTTTCATTTACTATAATGATGTGCGCTTATTATTCTGAGCTATGTCTATAAACCACCAAATGTACATTTAAGCATCTAACCCACCAGGCACACTTGGCAACGATCCAGTGGCATCCCACCCTCGCTCCTTCCATCGTGTCGTCTCCAGCAATAATGAAATGCAAATAATGCACATATTTTGCTTGGATGCAAGAGAAACCCATTTCTTCATACTTTATTATTTTTACTCCCACAGATGCTTCAGAGGACCCCTTCACCTCCCCTCAGGATGAACTCTCAGAGGGCTTGAATCACAATTTTGCGGTGGAGAGTCTCCTTCAGAGAAACACAGATCCAAGCTCCGCATCCAGAGACAACCAGGAGGGAGCATTCAGCCGCTCCACCCGTTCATTCATCACCGAAGAGATACTGGAGGCGCTTCGCAAAGCTGACCGCAAAGGCCGCGATGTGGTGGTGGGTCTCTCCAACGCCTGCTGCAAGTGGGGCTGCAGCAAGAGCGAGATCAGCTCCCTCTGCTGAGGGTCGATATATGCAATCTGAGCGCGCTGGCTGCCAGGCATGTTGTACACCTTAATAAACAAACAGAGACACACATTTGCACACACACTCTTCTTTATTCACTTTTTTGTGAATTTTATATCCTGCGTGTGTCTGTTCAGTAAAGTCTGTTTAATGTCTTTGATTTTCAGTATCAAGTAAATGTTTATGTGGCCAGTATGATATATAAAGAGACACGTTTGTTTTATGACGTCTTTGCTTGTTTTCTTTTTACATTACCAGTAACTTTCTCTGCTGCAACTGATGAGAGCTCGAGGGAATAAAATGCTTTGCTAAAATCATTTGAGAACAAGTTCATTAACAAACTAACAAACACACTCGTCACATGACACGGAGGGATAAATGAATGGAAAATTCATTACAATCTGTGTTATAACAAACATAAAGTGACAGGTAGATGTGTATTTTTACCTCAGTCCCCAATGCTTACACAGCAGCTTTGCTTCCCATGAAATATGCTGCTGTGGCCTACTTAGCTTTTGAGGCATTCCCACTTCCTTAAAAACATGCTGTAATTGGTGGAAGGGGGGAAAACATTAAAATGTAGGCTACAATACTTAAGTCACTGCAGCATAAAAACAACTTTTATTTGGGGGAAATTATATTTGCAGAGTCGGTTTCCACAGTTGATATGCTGCTTTCAGTTTAGGTTTTAATGTCTGTTTAGTTTCAGTTTACTATTTATTAGTTTCAGTATTAGATTTAGTTTAGTTTAGGGTTTTTTTTTTTAGCTTTGATCACTGATGCTATTTATCTAGGTCAACAAGTTCACAAAGGGTCACAAAAAAGAACAATGTCTCATGTCATGTAAACATCCTACCCTCTGGAAATGCATGCACGAAGAGCCTCTGATGCAGGTTAACACACGTTACTGTGATTTGTGTTTTATGTGCCACATATTTTTTTAGTTGGTCTAATGTTATATTAGCTAACAGTTTAGCTTTAGCAAACTGATAATACTACTCTACTGCTCTATTACAAACACACTTACCATCCACGTCATGCAGATTTGTAATAAAATGGCTAGTGTAAATTTTTTTAAATTCAAATGACCATTAGGACACATAAATTTCACATGAATACGTTTAGAGAACTTTCCTATAATGACTTTTAAAGGTTGCAAACGACCTTCAGGATTTTCTTTTAAAAAGGAAACAAGCAGACACAAACGTGTTTCTTAAAACAGGTAAGGGACTTTAAAACAGAAGGAATTATGGAGTGTTCAAAAGTTTATATAAGCCCAAAATGCTTTATACACTCAGGTTAGTAGCTGTCATTTTAATTAGACACTTTCATACACGTGCTCACGTTTGAGCGGCAGAAATTCAAAACAAAACTACCTCAAAGTTCAGTAACCTAAATATCTTACGCCACTATCTTACGATATCTCTCTTTCTTTTCTTGAAGTTATGAAAAGCGTTTGCGTAATTAAAAAACAAAAAAAAATAAAAATACAGGGGTAGCTACGACAGACACGTTTCGGGACCTGCAGCGAGTTAGTGTGTGGGAAGAACTGACACGACTAGCTGCCAGCGAGCACGCGCGCGTGAGCTGACGTCACTGGCAATTCCAGCAACTGGGTGGAGCGAATCGGTAACTGCGGAGAGGAGAAATTTCTGAACTTCACAGCAAGTTTCTCAGTTAAAACAAAAGCTGCGTGTTCCTGCAGAGCATGGGCGGCTCACATCTCAGCGTGTCTCACCCGGAGGTAAATCATTTGTACCCTAATAACACTTAATATTTACTTAGAAAAAAAGAGATCATAATTAAGGTTTAATAGAATTTGAGACTGAATAAAATTCCGAGTGTCTGGTAATTCGGTACTGTTTACCGTTATCACAAAGCTGCTCCCTCCTATCTGGCAATACGCCTATTTTCGTTAATCACCAAATGACTTTTCGCTCCACTGCACCCAAGAGGAAGTCTGAAACTGTCAGTCTGTCTGCAGTTGGGCTATTTATGCCAGATGTTGTATTTGTGATACGGATGTAGTTACCCCACATGTTGCAGCTACAGGTCAATGCGTGAACTCTTTCTGTAAGACCAACAGAGTTTTTGACTATGCCTTGTGACTGATTATTATTGTTGTTGTTATTTTGTATGTGAGAGTTCCTGATGAATTTGGGCTTTTCGCAGGCACTAGATGCCCTTGTCTAAATGTGATGGCCAGACCTATAACAAGGTGGCTTCTGTCCATCTTGGTGACCAGTGTCTCTGCTGCTGCAGCAGGTAGGCCTGTTCAAAAGCGCTTGTGCACAAATACTCATAAAAAGTACTTGCACCTGCATTCCAAAGGAAGTGTTGTCGCCGTGTACCCCACAACTTTAACAACTGTAATAACCACAACACTTTAACACCCTGTTACACTAACCCACTTAAATGCCATGCTATCTGCAGTGCTGTTTTCTTTCATGTTTACTGATTATTTGATTAATTCTGTACTTTGAGAGGTTTTGCTTTATCATAACCCCTAAATGATTTGTTTTTCCTGTTCTCTAATGCTTTAAAAAATTCTTTCTTTGTACTGCTTTCTTTGCTTAGTAATACTTTGGTTAAAAAAAGGTTTCAAATCTTAAACTTAAACTTGTAGACACTCACTGTGGTACCGCTGTCCTGACCTTCTCTATACATTTTAAGATTAGAATCATCACCCCATCATTCCCACTGATTTTCAGTCCAGTTCTGGTGTAATTTGGCATTCCTCAGCTTTTTCTCCCTGTTTCACCCTTATTGAGAATAAGGGGCCATTCTTCCACTGAGACCATTTCTGATTATGCTTCAGTGAACAGTAGATGAGTCAGCTTGAAGGGTCAGATGCATCTCTCAGGTCATTTTGTTTGTTCTGGTCACATTTTTTCCTGTTTTTGAGGACGTGAGTTTCTAGTAGTGTCCATCTGCTGTAGACAGTTTCTTAGGCTTGACAGTTCTTCTTTTGTAGTTTTGTAGCTGTAGCTTCCTCATATTTGTTTTAGGACACACTGCACACTATGCCTAAATATGCCATGTTTTCAGCTAAAAGCTCTTTTGGAATCACTTTACAAAAATCCTATTTTATGCCTATCAAACTGTGTTATATTTGATATTTTTTGATATGTTATAAAGAAATACAAGCAAATTATTTGTTTATTAGACAGGCTGCTTGTAAAAAAGTGGCTAAATACAATGAAAAATGGGTTTTTGCTCAGTTCTGTGTTTTATGTAGGCACAACACTGGTTCGTCCTTTGACTTTGATCCTTTTTTATGCTTGAATGATTCTTTGGTCAGTGTAAAGTGGCCCTAAAAACAGGGTGTGGACATTCCTGAGTGAAAAAAGGAACAAACAACCAAAGAAAGAAACATGTTCCAAGAGAACTAGACCACTTTCAAAGGTTACAAAACAGTCTGGCTCCCCGGATGCAACATACAAAGAAAAGAGGGTAGCTCAAGACTTTTGCACAGTACAAGGGAATGGTTGCAGACTAACCAAGAGCGGACCAAGTATATTAAAGCTTAATTTTCACATTATTTTCCACTTTTCAACTAGGCACATACAAATGCTATCCATAAATGAATGAGTATTTTAGTTCTTAGTAAAGGACTGACCTGTACAATAACAGAAAATGTTAGCTGGGAGCTTTACGTGCATCACATTTTCCTGAAGCTGAGGACACTACATCAATCTCAACACACTTTTGCTATTTATTCTCACTATTTATTTATTTGGTGGCCCATCTATCACACCTATCAGTCGTTCCTCATTGTTTGTGCTGTTTTTAAAGAGAAGTGGTCATAATTGACTAGACTACACTTGTTTTGGATCCAAACTGCACAAACTGCTCATTTCCTGTTCTGCAATCTGCTTTGCTGCAGTAGTCTGCATATATTGAACGGGTTACTGCTAAAAGTGTAGAGGCTTACAAGAAACGTGTAAAGGTGGCAATCTTGCGATGAGTAAAATCAAAGGTGTGCGTGTGTGTGTGCGCACAGATAGACGGATGCGCGCACATTTTTTGTCTTGTGGTTGAGAACAGTGTTAGATCTATTGCTTTCTCCCCCTTTTCTTCATCATCTCTCACTTCCTGTATCATTTTATAACAATTATAGTCACCTTTGCTAAAAGCCTTAACTTATGTAATCTTATTAAATGATAATAAATGTGGAGAATATGGTTGGAACTGACGGTAAATCAGTCGTGTTCACTCTTATTTCTTCGCTCATTACATGTGTCTGAGTTTATGAGTCATTGTAGCCTGGCAGTCTGTCACATAGGGTCAGTTTGCTTTACTGTGACTCGTGGGGATATTACCAAATATAGTTTTATTGCAGACCTTTTGTCACTTTCCTTTCTTTGTCTTTTGTTTCATTAGTTTTATTTCCTAGGAAATGAGACAAAGGAGCTGATTTAAAACACATCTGGAGCTTTTTAACAGTAAAGCTGTTATAAAAAGCTAAATTAGCCCCCACTAGCAAGACACAGAACCACATTAAAAAGTGTCTGCCATCACTCTACAAATACTCATGCTGTTAGTGTGTTTGGGTTTTAGCAGCAGTGAAGGTGACTGGTGTAGCAAGAGAGAGAGGTTTGACAGAACTGCCAGAAACTGACTAGAGAAGGGAGCTAAGGCTGGATTTTGGAGAAGGGAGAGTGCATGGTAGGAACAGTGTGTGGTTTAAGTAATGTGTGATCTTGAAGTGGATGAGTGCAGGCTGATTAGATGGACAACGAGGTGGGAACTCATTGCAGTTTTTTTTTCTGTACTTCATCTCTCCTCTGTCTTCCTGCATTCTGTGAGCTGGGAGTTTTTATATTCAGCGTGCTGCTATGTTGCATGAGCGTAGGTTTTTGGCTGAGCAGTATTGAAAGGACAAGTTGTGGAACGCATCTGGGAAAGATTTTGTGCATCACTGGCCGAATTTCCTGTACTTTGTTCGTATTTTTGCACGTTTGATACTTTTCTACATCACTTTACGTTAAAAAGATCTAGTTAAAGTAATGGAAAACACACAAATCAGGCACTGAGTGGACCTCACCTGCCACTTCGTTAAGCACACCTTGCTAGTACTGGGTTGGATCAAAGTCTGCCTTTATTCTTCTTGCAAAGATTCAACAAGTTGCCGGAAACATTCCTCACAGATTTTGTCCATATTGCCACAATGGCTGCAGATTTGTCTGTCGCACATCCAGATTCAGATCTGGTGACTGTGGAGGTCATTTGAGTGTAGTGAACTATTTGTCATGTTCAGGAAACCAATCTGAGGTTTGTGATGT